ATGACGCGGTGCAATATGGCTGCGTAAAAAGCGATGTTGCCATGTGACGCGGCCGCACTTGTCTGACCGACAGACATCTTCCCAGTTTATTAGAATTTTGTATATTGTTTGTTTTTAATATAATTTAAATTTATTTATGTATTTATCTATTTAAGATATGTATTGTACATAAAGTGTACGATTGGCGGACTTAATATGCCTTTGGGCATTCTCTACCACTCAGCCACGAGCTGAGCAGAGAAAATTAAGCTAAGTTTATTTATTACCTGTTAAATGCCCTTAATTTGCCTGGGTAGGGTATATTAATATAGCGTTATGCAGGTTTAAGAGAGTCATAGACCACTTATTTTATCAATTTTTGTTTTTTTACTCAAAAAACAATTTACTTGAATAACCATTTTTAAAATGTTTGCATGTCTGTCATGTGTTGAATCGATTGCAATGCAATTACAAGAACAGATGGTGAGCAATGCCAGGAGTTTATATGATAAACTTGGAGCTGTGTTTTGGGTACAAAGAAAAATTGATAAAACACAACCTTTGATTATCATCAATCTAATTAACGCTATATTAATAGGTCCTAACCAAGCGAAGTCAGGGCGGGTAGCTAGATACAAATAAGTGTCTAGAATCTAGATCTCTAGATCTATAATTCATACTCTCAGCCTAGATATGTAATAGGATTACTATGATTAGATACATTGTTTATTTACGGACTAACACTCTGGTTTAAGATTATACCTAACTTTATTGTCTGGTGTGTACCATCAAGGCAAGAGTGAATAGGCTTTTGTTAAGCTTATACGTGGTAGAACCATGCTTCAGCTATGATAGCAGTATTATAGTGGTAAGACGAATGGGTTGCCTCGACCGGGATAGGACCACGCTCTCACAAAATAACAGCGTAAAATAACAGCTTAAAGCTGCTGTGTTTCGTATGACTAACTTAAAAAACCGAAGACCCTTCTAATGGAAACCAGGTTTTCCATCTTAGTCCTGAGGGGTAGTAACGCATCTGCATGTTGATTCTTAATTGAAAATAGATGAAGATGTCTATGCACCACAGCAACTACTCACCATCAGGTGGACTGTGTGCTCGTTTGTCACCCTTACCCTATAAAAAAAAATCAACGCAATTTACCACCTATGGCTACATCACTATTTACCAACAAGCGGGATTATAGGCGCGCATTGACTAATGAAAATTAAAAAAAATATTAACGTATCTATTAGCTATGCTTGGGCTTAAATTGAGTTTTATGAATAAAGGATCCCAAGCAGATGGCACCTATCTTCTGTATTGAAATTAGAACATCCAATCCTCCCCCCACAACTATCGGTGCAATGGAACATTTGAAACGTTTTTAATTAAATTAAAAGCAATAATATCAACGTTCTTTTTAATTTTTAAGCAAATAAAGTCAAAAATTCAAGCTGTATCAAGGCTTTTAAAAAGTCGCCTTGCGTAGACACCCGAAACAATAACCGCATTAAAGTCTATAGCGATATTTTCATCGCGTTCAAATGTTTGTGAGGCATCGCTACACCCCTCCCTCGGGAGGCGAGGGACGCGACAGGAAAAAATGAAATGAAAATAATGATAAAACCGTCTCCGCCAGGGAGCGTTTGCGCGGAAACTTTGTCTTCCATATACCAGTTGAAGTTTACACACTCTACTCCATTTTGTGAAAGAACTATAACGTTGTAGATTTGGTTTTGTCGATCTTAATACTCATGGATAAGTTTTATTTTTATACATGTAAGCAGTCCTTCTTGTTTGTCACCATAATTAAAGTTGTCTTTCATAGACCAGTTAAACATTTATACACTATACTCCATTTTATGAGCGAACTATAACATTCTACCCATAGATGGGTTTTATTTTTCTTTGTACAATGCAAAACACCCTGATTAACCATTTCACGATACCGTATGTCATATATGAATATTTCGATTGTTTAATTATTGTCTTTTTCGCGAACAGGGAAGTTGTTAAAAATTAAAATACAGATGCACTGTCACCCCCAAATATGGAAATGCGATCGCAATTCTAAAAATTTTTAGTTTTGTACTTAATTTAATCAAGTTTTATTTCACTCTCAACTTCACATTATACGAAATAAAGATTTTTTTAATTTTTTCCCTTGACATACACTAGACAGACTATTGAAATAGGAACACAAAATTCACAGCTCATTTAGTTCAGTCCAGTCATTCATTCTGAATTTCAAAGCGCATAGTTATGTTCTACTAGCGCCTAAAAATCAAGAATCCAATGTTTTGTCGGACGAAATCGTATCTAACCATCATATTGAACATATAAAAAATATAAAAATCACATTCTCAGAAACACAACAGCATTATATTTTTAATGTCTATTTAAAGAAATATAATACTGATCAACAACAACAACAACAACAAACAACAACAAATCACGTGAGATTTACGTGAATTATCGTTGATTTCATTTATTTTTAAAGTTTTCTATTAGCGTTAAAGATTACAGAAAGGTAAATTGACTAACCATACCGCTTTAGTGTGTTTAACCTTAAAAGTAGAGTATTGTTGCGCGGCTAAGTTGACATCTGGCACTAGCGCCATCTAGTGTAGGGTAACGGAGCGAGGGGAGAGCTTTCCAGAAAATGACATCACTAATCTTTCAACTGACAGCTCCATCTGTTGTCGAAAGGAAGAACTAAGCTTCTGGAAGCTGACTCTCGAACTTTCGGCGCTTTGTCGATTGGTGCGCGTATTTACTTGAATGTTCTGGATGATTCGGTACTAATGTGTATTTATAGGCGCTGCAAGGTGCGATCGGGGAAGTATTGAATTTGGCGAGACAAGCGAAGCTTCGGAGCGGAATAAAGTGAATTAGTGTGCTTGATTATTGGTGTTTTAAACTTTAATTTGTGTAAAGAAAATTAAAGTGTTAATTTAGGTAATTCTATCGGCAATTTTTATTGTCACGAACCTCAAGCTCGTAACAGTATTTACGTTCTGCTATTGATCACGTGCTTCCCCTTATTCCTGAGAGGATTTTGAGGCAGGGAAGAGGCAGCACACACGCATTATTGTAGGCAGACTTTGCATGAACTGGATTTTTTAAATTTATCTCTGGTATCTACCTGATGGTATACCATCAGAGAGGCCTTAAATTTCTGACATTTCCCACAGGATGATGGATTCTAAAATTTTTGATTGTTTTACTGCAATTAAATTTATCTTGTAGAATAATAACGTTTGATTTAGGCGTGGCGGCCATTTGTTGACCGATTCAGATGTCAGGCGGAGTGAATTGGCATGAAATTCGGCGTAATTAATGAGTGCACGTCGAGCCGTTAATCTAGCGATGGCACCGCCGTTCAAGACCGCTTGTATACTAATAAATTGCTGCTTATTGTAGACAACCTTTTAGTAATCACAAAAATGCCCTTCATCCAATCCATCCATTACAGGCCATAAAGGTCCACAGCTGGACACAGGCCTTGCCCATAGATTTTCACGCTTGGCACACAAGTTGGCAACCGAAGTTATATATTATTTTGAACTGCTTTAAGGAAGATGTTGCTGCTCGTCTCCTGTTTCGGTTTTCCTCTGTCGCCTTTTATATGTCATGGGTGTCGCATGGCATGGCATGGGGTAGTTGCGTATCACCGCCGCCACCACACGGTGAAAATGTAAAACACAAAACATAAACACTCACGCCTGTCCCTGTAAGCAAAGACTACAGACTTCCATTTAGCACGATCATGACAAGCATCTAAAAAATCCAGTCGGAAAGGGACTTCCTAGGCGAAAGTTTATCGACCAAATTGGCGATATATTGAAAATGGACCAAATTAGGAGTACCCTCAACCGACGAGCGTGTATACGTAGGTATATGAATGTAGAGGAGGCGAGAGAGGTGAAAATGTGTCCTTAATAAAAAATAATGTTTATCGTCTAAGTGGAATTACAGGTATTGTATTTTGATTTAAGCTTCCTTGATTATCCTTTATACTCAAATTTTTCATATACAAAATACAAAAATATTTAGTTTAAACTTATTCAAGGCTCCTAAAAACATCAAAATCTACCAGAATACCCATAAGACCTTTACAGAAAAACCGTCAATATATACTTGTATCATTTTCCCCCGGTTTTTTTTAGGACAGGGTGACAAACGAGCACACAGTCCACCTGATGTTAAGTGGTTGCTGTGGCCCATAGACATCTACATCTATCCTCGATTACGAATCAAAATGCAGATGCGTGGTCACCCGTGAAGACTAAGATGGAATGCCTCTTTTCCAGTAAAAAGGGTCTCCGGTTCTTTACTCACCATACGAAACACAACAGCATTACGCTACTATTTGACGCTGGTATTCTGTGAGAGCGTGGTCTTTCCGGATCGAGCCGACACATTCGTGCTATAATATAACTTCAGCATGGCTCTACCACGTAAAAAGCGTGTTTTTAATAAATCTATTATCTATTATATTATATTTTTATATTATACACATATATTTTTTTCAATATTCTCCATTATATCAGATTGTACGGCAGTTCAAGACGACCGAAGATAGATCAGACGTCAGGGAGATCATGAGTTTTATTTTTTTAATATATGGTGTTACTTTTTAAAGAATTGGTAGTAAAAGATTATTTTGTTTTGGCTAACCAAACTGTAAGGCCGAGTTTATTTGCAGTACACTCGACTTATTGCATTATTATACTACAGTGTTAACTCTCTTAGAAGTAAGAGAAGTATATAAATATAAGAGTATATATGTCAGCAGTTGTAACTTTACTTTACTTCACTATAGGTTTTTTTGACTTAAATTATTGAAAGCATTTAACAAGTCACACATTTAAGAAAAAAATTGTTTGTACTGGTGATTTTCTGGTCAATTTCGATCACAAAAAAATCGAAATGTACATGGAATATGACATGATTGTCATCAATCATCACGGTCATAAAAATCGTCAGCAAAATATTCACAGACATTTTTGTCTTTCAGTGAGCAATGGGGCACTCAGTGCATGTGCCGCTCAAGCCGGGGCCATGGACAAGGACGGAAAAAAGAAACACACACGACCCACCTTCAGCGGGCAGCAGATCTTCGCGCTGGAGAAGACCTTCGAACAAACGAAATACCTCGCCGGACCTGAGAGGGCCAAGCTCGCGTACGCGCTCGGCATGACCGAGTCACAAGTCAAGGTAATATTGCAAGTAAATAACCTTCGAATTGTCTATTGCATGTTATATTATATGTATGACACGGTACATTATTTGTATGTCTCTGCAAGATCAGAGAAACCTCGGAGGACATTGGCTTAATTCCTGACGAAGATAATCTGTCTTAAAATATAATAAAATATCGTTCGACTTATTAAGAAAGGCTAACTTATTATCCAGCGTTTTAACATTAATTATAACTTATCACAAATATTCAATTTTGTTTATTGTCAAAAACCATTGCAAATATATGTAGTGTGTATAGTGCGACTATGTAAGTCCAACTTTGCCCGAGAGGTCAATCGGCGGAATTAACGGTCGAGCAGCGTTTTGGACATTGAAAACGAGATTGCACAACTAGTGCGTGTGTCAGTGACGATTTATGGATCTGAGAGGTGGTCCTTCACTGCTGGCTGTATGAGGAAGCTCAAGATTTTTGCGTAATAGACATAAATATGGTGATGATGATGATGATGAATGATGTATGCGTAGTACTCTTTCTTTTCTAAATGTTTTTTAAATGATTGGTTATCAACCATTGTTCTCGTAACGAAGAGTATCTTTGAGGACTTTAAACTAAAAGCGCGGCTAGCGTGTGAGGAGGCTTGTGCTCAGCCGAATCTACGACAGACTCATAGGTACTTTATTTAATTTACAGCTTTTGTTTATCTGATAAAACTCTCATGATAAAAACGAGGCAATGCGTAATATAAGAGAGGTCAATAAGGAGACATGTTGCTCTTTCTACATTTTAACTAGCGCTCACTAGCAACTTTACCCGCGTAGAACAAAACCACTAAGAATAGAACTTCAATTTTTCCAAATCACTAAAAAAATTATATATAGGTGTTTCAGTAGGAAGACTGAGAAATAATTCCTTGGATTGCTGTCTATTTTTTTATAGGATAACGGTGACAAGCAAGCACACAGTCTCTCTGATGGTAAGTGGTTGCTATGGCCCATAGCCATCTACATCTATCCTCGTTTGCGAATCAAAATGCAGATGCGTTGTCAGCCGTGAGGACTAAGATGAAATGCCTCCTGTCCAGTAAAAAGGATCTCCGGTTCACTCACCATACGAAACACAGCAGCATTAAGCTGCTATTTTACGCTGGTATTCTGTGAGAGCGTAGTCCTTTCCCTGTCGAGCCAACCCATTCGTGTTAAAACTATACTATTAATATATATAACTGCAGCACGGCTCTACCACGTATAAAAATCTAATCTTAAAGTTTCCTTACAATTGATTCAGCCAATCAAAAGCCCGGACAGACAGATAGACGAAAATTTGAGCTTAATAAAAACCAGTTATTTTGATATTACATGTAAAGATTAGACTAATACCGTCTGCAATTAGCATTAATATAATATATATGTGACGTGGGCTACACCATAATGTTTTCATATCTAAACTTGATGACTAATTTCTACTACAAGAATATTTATTCAAACTAGTTTTATTTAATTGTTCTCGAATTGGGGCAACAGTAATTTAAAATATCGTAAAAAATTAGTAAAATCAATTTATATCAATAAATACTGCGTCTATTCAAATTATAATACACGATATTACCATATATCAAAATAAACGGATATTATAAGCTTTGTGCTATTAAATATATTCATGCGAAATTTATCGCAAGTAAATCCTTAAATATAATTATCATTATTGCCTAAAACTATTTCGTTAAAAAATCGTCACAAATCACATTAATCTGTCGTAAAACACGCATAATATTATAATGAAATAACTAACATATTCTAACAATTAACTAACGACTGGGACAAGGCTGCCCGTTGCCGGCACTTGCCTCGTACACTCGACTAAGCAGCTATATTCACCATCTGTCGCACAGAACGCGCCATTTTCGACCTTATACTGCAAGAATAAAGTGCTAACAGCGTTAATGCTGTAGAACCAACTTTGTTGTAGGCCATCTATAATCGGATTATATAGATTGAAAAGTCAATCACTTAGTATCGCGGCGCGTCAAACGATTGGCTCAATAGTAGGGGATTAACCATGGGCGACATGTGGACGAATCGCTTACTTTGTTTCCATTTGGAAATTCGTTAAAATGAATGAATTTACTGTCATTTAATATTGGAGGAACATAGGTAGCTGTTGTTACAGATAATTTTATATTAAATTTTTTTTTTTTTATATAAAAATAAGGGTGACCAAAGAGCACACGGTTAACATGATTGTAAGTTGATACTGTGGGCTATAGACATCTACATTTATCCCCGATTTAAAAAGAAAGTGCTGGTGCGTTGTCACCTCTGAGGACTAAGATGAAATGCCTCGTTTCCATTAAAATGGGTCTCCCGTTATCTACACTCACCGTATGAAATACAGCGGCGTTAAGCTGTTACATTACACTGGCATTCTGTGAGAGCGTGGCCGACCCATTCGTGTTACAACTAATATAGCTGTGACTCTACCACGTAGGTATCCCTCTATTTTAAGCATAACTTAAAAGCTACACAAGGAGCTATGTGTATGTGTTTGAATTTGAATGATGATTTTTTCTTTATATTCCTGCCTGTTTTATATAACCGTCGTTTGTTTTTATTATGACAACTTGAGAATGAATAACAATAAGTAAATGATTATTAAAAAGAAAAAAGACCGGCCTGCAATATATAATTATAAACATCTGTGTTGAAACACGTGTTATTGCCTCTATCCTTATTTTCCTGAAAATTAAAAAAGCCACGATTGAAAATTCCGCGAGAGTCAGTTAAAGTGTATGATTTTTTTATATATATACGAGATAAACGGGCACACTTTGCGCCTGATAGTAAGTGGATTTCGCGATCCATAGACATGTACATCTATCCTCGGTTTAGAATCCAAATGCCTCTATAACAGCTTTTAAAGTGGTAGAGTTACGCTGCAGCCATATTATGATTGCAGCACGAAATAGTCGCCTCGATCGGAAATCATGCCTACATCTATCCTCAATTAAGAATAAAAATACAAATGCGTTGTCACCCTTGAGATCGAAGATAGAATACCTCGTAACCAGTAAAAAGGGTCTCCGCGGTTCTCTATACTCACCATACGAAACGCAGGATTATATTTCTGCTTCACGCGGGTATTCTGTGAGAGCGTGGTCCTTCCTCAGAGGAGCTGATTCATTCGTGCTGCAACTTGGCACTACCTCATAAAAAGACGTCACCTTAAATAAAAATATTAATAAATATCAATCCCTAACACACGGCAATATTAAGACAAAATTTTAATAAAATACAAAATTTAATTTATAACATATTTTTATATTTTTCAATAATATAATTATTTTCAAAAGTATTAAAAACATTATTTGAATCGATCATTTAACTTTGACAACTTTTATTTAAGACAAACAATAAAATAGGCGTAAAAAGGCCCATTTAATTCTATACTAATTAGGGTGTGACATATTTTCCCCTCAACTAAATGCTCGCTAAATATTAGAGGGGTACTCTTTAGCTTCCAGCACTATTGTGTTACATTGCAATAAGCTTAAATACACAAATGGAAGTTAACGCTATTGCGTTCTACATTACTCGCTTCATTCGATAGATCTTTGTGTACGATAGATTATGTTGAGAGATGAATACGTATAAATTCAATGTACAATGTAGGCTCAAGCAAGCGAGTTTATTGGTAGAGGTGAAATGTAGAGCTCTGTGGTTGTGACGTTTACCCTACCGTTATGCGGTCACGCTCATTTAGCGGGCTTTTCGTTGAACTTTATAATTGAAAATACGAAGCTTTCGAAACTGAAATTGTAAATGGAATAATTAAACATTTTATTTTTATTTTTAGGTATACAAATACATAAAAAATTGCTTATTATATTATTATGACATGATACCCTGATGACGCCTTATGGCAAAATAGGTTGATCTTATAGTAAATAAATTATATGTGACATAAGTACATGCAACTTCAAGAAAAGAGCTTTTTGACGTGACAACGTCTAATAAATCGAAGAACCGCGGCTGCAACAACGAAAAAGGATGACTCATTGCAACGTTACGCTCAATGTAACGTTACAATCGGAGCGGGAGCGCTGCACGAGCGAGCGAAAGTCACGATCGGCTTGAGCGTTTGGCTTGCGCCGCATCTGTCTCTCTTCCACAAAATATGCAATAATTTCATAAATAATTTGTTTTGACGTTATCACGTTAAACTATCGTCCGTAAACCGACTTTACAGACAACAAATCTTTTATTTTTAAATGGCCGGCAACTTGGTGTTGCAGATGAATGCGAGTGACGATGATCCCTTTCCGTCAGGTGAACCATGTGCTCTTTTACTCTCTTTTTACGATTTTATTTTATCAAGTCGGCGACTACGATTTTTGAAGTGAAAACTTTTTTAGAATCGTGATTTGAAACTCGATGAAACGAAAAAGCGACATTAAAAAGAGAAAATCATATACATCTATATAATAGTCGAAATGGTATATATTTTTTAAATTGACCATTTCATTAAAATCGTTGTGATTTGAAACTCGATGAAACGAAAAAGCGTTATTAAAAAAAGTCAAACATATACGTCTATATAACAATCGAAGTGTTATATATTTTTTAAGAAAACACTTCTTTGGAATCGTTGTGATTTGAAACTCGATAAAACGAAAAAATGACACTAAAAAGAAACAAACATATAGAGAGAATGAGATAGAATACAGTATACAGTGTTTCCTAATATCTCGGTCTCCTTTTGTGAAAGTTTCACTTTTACCGCGTGAGACTCCACTTTCTAATGTTTTTATTTGTGCAAGGAAAAATGCTAAGCAAAGCTTTTCAGCGAGGAAACGCAGCCAGCGTTCTTGGTACTATACCATGGATGGTAGGACTGTATGATAACTTAAGTTTTAGGTTTTAGTTTTTTTAAAGTGTTTTAGTATTGTATATATTTGAATGTTATGTGAATAAATATTAAACGGTAACAATTTATGGACAATTATGTTCTTCATCAACCCGTATGAAGCCCATAACATAAAAATAACAATATCCAAAACAATGATCGTGATGAAACAAAACTCACCCTCGGTTTCACAAACTGTCCCGAATCGTACATCATCGCGAATATTTGGCATATAATACGAGGGTTCAAATTATATTATACTAAGTGATACTTTCCATTTAGGGAGCGGGATCGGGATCGGGATAAGAATTGTAGGGTAAGCGATGCGGCGAAGGAATCTATTGATATAAAGAAATTCAATTAAAACGTAAGTATAACTTTAAAACCTTTTATCACCACCATGCTGCAGCTTTATTAGTAGTTCAGCTATAGCACGAATGACTCGGCTAGACCGGGGAAGAATCACGCTCTCACAGAATACCAGAGTAAAATTGCAGCTTAATGCTACTGTGTTTCATATGGTGAGTGTAGAGAACGGGAGACCTCTTTTACTGGAAACGAATCATTCCATCTTAGTCCTCAGGGATGACAACGCATCTGCATTTTGATTCGTAGTTGAGGATAGATGTCCATCCACCAACCACTTACCATCAGGTGGATTGTGTGCTCGTTTGTCACCCCTATACTATAAAAAAACCCTAAATATAACATAAATATAACCTTAAACTCTTTAATAAAAGAGCTTACTCCTTTTTAAAAGGCCGACAACGCACTTGCAATTCTCCTGGTGTTGCAGCTGTTCATGGGCGATGGTAGTCACTTACCATCAGGCGAGCCGTGTGCTCATTTGCCCCCTCTCACATAAAAAAAATATTTTGTTACATTAATTATTTCTCTTTTAATTTTATTTTCTTAATAAATGAAGTTTTAAGCCACTAAGAACTATGTATTAATGGTTTCTTGTACGTACGTTACTACCCTTTACAGCCTATCAAAAGTCTATTACAGAACATAAGCTTCCCACATAGATCACCTCATGGGGAAGATATCTGACAGTTGTCACGCTTGGTAAGCACCATTCTTCGCGAATTTTGACGTTTGCTGTCAAACTCCATACATTGTATTTTATTGTATTTAGTTTGCATACAATTTCCATATTTTCCACTTGACTGCTTTATTGAAACAGAGTAGTTTAAATTTGAGATTTATTTTAAACAATTTTTTGTAAAGAGGCGGATTATGTTAACTATATTTATTTATTTGACAAGGCCTCTTATGGCTAATTTTTCGATAACGTAATAAAAGTCATCAAAGAAATTGTAATCTAACTGAATATAAAACAATTGAAATATTTTATTCATACAAATGTCGTTTTTAATTTGCATATGTTGTATTGTATTATAAATAATTTTTATTTGAGGGCTAAAACAATTAAATAGGAAAATAGGGTGTGTGCGACATCCAATAAGAAGTAAGTTCATTATAGATTAATAATCAAACATATTGTATGAAACTAATTTTAAGGTCTTTATCGCGTTTAATTTTATAACATTTTTGATTCGCGACGTTTAGAGTAATTTAGTAATTTAATTTAGTCAATCGTTAATATTTCAAAACTGAAGGTAACCGGGGTTAATGTTGACGAACGTCAAACACCTTAGTCTCCTTCGTGACTGCTTAATACCACAAATCTTCTGTAGTAAAAAAATAGTTAAAATTAAAGGCGATCAAATTCGTTAAATTATTTTTACTCAATTCCTTCTCATTAATAAGTTTACTTATAATATGCCAGTCCGCGACTAAAATTCGATCTGGTAGTAAGTAGTAATGATGGTAAATTCGTAACTTTTTTATTGAATAAGGCTGACAAACGAGCAGTCTATACCCATAGTAGATATGGATATTTTTAATCGAGGATAAATTTAGTTCTATCCTCGATTCAAAATGTAGATGTTTAGTCACCCCTGAGGACTGAGATGGAATACCTCATTTGCAGTAAAAATGTTATCCGTTTTTCTATACTTGCCATACGAAACACAGCAGCATTAATTACGTACAGTTTTAATTGCTTTTCTATGTTTACTTAACAATTCTGTACTTTTAAAACGCGTATAATATATTTATAAAAGGAACGTACATTAAGCAGTTACAGTCAGAATAGCTCTAAGTGGAGCATGGGGCTTGAAATCAAGTGTAACTAATGCGATTAATGGATGCGAGGCAACGCTTCAGCTAACTACAGCGACGCAACTGTTACTTTGCGCTAGAGAAGTTATCAGTGTGACGTCACTAGCGCTAAGTGACCGTTGATCAGAAGGGTGTCGATGCTTACGTTTGTTAAACATTAAGAAAGCATTGAATGATTAAAACATTTTTAATGAAAGAAAATATAGTTGTGGTCTAAGAATATTCCCTACCCCATATCACCCCGTGGTTGTCGTAAGAGGCGACAGAGGGAAATAATTCAGGAGATAGGCAGCAGCGTCTACAAACTACAAATTAAAAAATACTACGGTTGTCAACACGCCTACCAGGAGTGGCAGCTGTGGCAAATATCCCCCTATGAAGCAATCTATGGGGAGTCCTATGTTCAGCAGTGGACTTTAATAGGCTGTATCGGTAATATATTTAAAGATACATTACAACTGTTACAAACTGAATAGCTTAAATAAGATGCGTATTTATCTATTTCTGCTACCAATTAGCAGTGTTTGTACTGCTATGTTCCGTTCTGAAGGTTATAGAAAGGCAGGATAACTTTTTTTATAGAGTAAGGGTGACAAACGAGCACACAGTGCACCTGATGGTAAGTGGATGCTGTAGCCCATAGACATCTACATTTAAGCTCGATTAAGAATCAAAACGCAGATGCGTTGTCACCCCTGAGGACTAAATTGAAATGCCTCGTTTCCAGTAAAAAAAATGTATCGGTCCGGATCTCTACACTCACCATACGAAACACAGCAGCTGAGCTGCTGTTTACGCTGGAGTTGTGTGAGAGCGTGGTTTTTCCCCGGTCGAGCCGACCCATTCGTGCTACAACCATACTATAGCTGCAGCGTGGCTCCACCACGTATAAAAATTCATCTTAGTCTTTGGCAGTAATAACGCATCTGTTCAGCGGTATTTGTTTGATGTTGGATGCTGGTGTCCATAGGCGACAGTAAGCACTTCACTGTTGACTGTAAATTGGTTTGTCACATCTTTTATAAAAAAAAATGAGATGGAGGTATACTAGCCTAACGATTATTGCAAATCATCCCTAAGACGGGATAAGCATTTACAACAGTGTGTTTTTACATGCTGATGAAGATATAAAGATTTGAAAAGGGTGTTTACGTGGTAGAGTCATACTGCAGCTATATTAGTAGTATAGTTGTAGCACGAATGGGTCGGCTCGACCGGGGAAGGACCACGCTCTTACAGAATACCAGCTGAACGCTGCTGTGTTTCGTATGGTGAGTGTAGAGAACTAGAGCCCCTTTAACTGGAAACGAGGCATTCCATCTTAGTACTCAGAGGTGACAACGCATCTGTATTTTAATTCTTAATTGAGAATAGATGAAGATGTCTATGGGCCGCAGTAACCTCTTATCGTGTGCTCGTTCTTCATTTCAAGAAAACAATATGAATTTGATTCTTTGTTGAATTATTACTATTCCATTGATATACGAGTACTATCTGCAGGTTATTTGAGGAAGCTCAAGGTCGCTCAGTGAGCTATGGAGAGGGATATGCTCAGGGTTTCTCTGTGTGATAAACTTATAAATGAGGATATCCGCAGTAGAACCAGAGTGACCGACAC